TCCAGTTTTTCAAGAGTTTCGATCTGACCGATCATCTTGAGAACGTGGGGACCAACTGGGTTACCCGTTGCCAGCTTACTGGAAAACAGAGTCGTAGAGATTTTGAAACGCTCATGTCTAGCCTGGCCTTGGTATAGACCTTTCAAGCGAGTCATCATAGGATGAGCTTCCATGTCCTTATGGAGCCTTTGGAGCTCCGAAGTCATGGTGGCTAGCATGAGACATCTCACATCACGTGCGTCATCTTCATACTTCTTGTACGAAGTAATTTCTGCAGCACGGGCGTTCGCTTCAGGAGCTTTGGGAGGCTCAGAGGTAAGGACGTAGAGCTTTTTCTTGCATTAGAGAACAATCTTAAGATTCATCTCCCAATCAAGAAAGTTGGTTCCAGATAATTTTTCCTTTTCTAGAACATATCTCAGGTTGAAAGGGTTGTTGTTGTTTGCCATCTACAGAAAATTTTGCAAACTAGGTTATCTATCATGTTTAATAATTAATTAGGCCTTTAATTAATTATCTCCCACTATTTTTAACAAATCAATAACCCTCGATATTGATTCGGAGCTTTCTGGCGAAACCTCTAGTGGGCCAAGATCCATATTTCATTATCTTGCGTTCTGCTTGGGCGTTACTCCACAAGACAACTATTTAGGTAGGAACATAGTTCCAACTGATGAGCCGGGCTCATCAGTTGGAACTATGTCTGGTGTTGGGCGAACAATATTACTACTGTAACGCCCCGAAACCTGGCCCAAAAGAATTAATTAAATTGTTAAAGCAATTGATTACGAATTGGGCCCAAAAAGGGGTTAAAATTATAATTTGGATTTTAAGCCCAACTTTTATGTCATCTCGTAAGAAATATTTTTGTGATCGCGTCGGTTCAGACGGTTCGCGAATCGGAGTTATGGAACTCAAGTTATGACCATTTAATCAGGTATTTTGGGTCCGAAGCCCAATCCTTTTTGGAATGGGACCATTAAATAAACCTAAACCACACAAACCTTATCTTATCTTCTCCTTCTTCGATTCTACTCTCCGTCCGTTCCTTTTTCTTCTTCTTCTTCTTCTTTTTCTTCTCCTTCTTCTTCTTTCTTCTTCGCTGCCCAGCCGGTCGCAAGCCAGGTCCAGCCGCCGTCGCTCACCGCCGTGAGCCAGCCGGCGGTCGTTTCCGTCCAACTGGAGCAGCCAGCCGCCGGCGTCGCCGCTCATCGCCGCCGTCGATTGCAGCGCCGCCGAGTTGCAGCGCCGCCGAGTTGCAGCGCCGCCGCTGCTTCCTTCGCCAGTAGCCGCCGCCATCATTGCCGACGGGTGCAGCGCCGCCACGCCAAACGGAGGACGTCGCCAAACGCTGGATGCCGCTGTTTCGCCCTTGCCGGAATCGAGAGCCGCCGTCGCGCGAGCTTCCAGCCGGTCGCCGAGCCTCGAGCCGCCGTCGCCCTTTGCACAGCGGCCACCCGCCGCCGTCGAGTGCAGCGCTGCCGTCGAGTGCAGCGCCGCCAGTCGCTGCTCATCGCCGTCGAACTGCTGCTCCGCCACTGTCGCCGGCGTCCGTCACTGTTGCCGCATCCGGCCGCTGCCCCGAGTTGATATCGCCGGCAGATTAACCTCCACGCCGGATTGATTGGTCGATTTCGTATTTTGACTCGACTTGACCCGTTCGGTTGATTTCGTTGATTTGTCTTCCGTTCGAGCTATCGATTCGATTTCGACGTAATCCAGGTCCGTACTATGAAGTTAATAGCATTCAGAATAGATTTAATGGTTTGGATCGTTATATGTGTTTATGCTATAATTTGGCTAAATTGGTTAATTGAATTAAATTGATTGTTGAATTGAATTGTTGAGGATTGTGAATCGACTGAACAGGTTTGACTTTGACTTGGGTTAGGTCCTGTTTGACTTGGACTTTGACTGGATATTCTGTTGTCGTAGGTTTGACCGAATGGTTAAATCCAAGACTTTAATGAATTAGTTAAGTTAATTAATTAATTCTAATCGGTGATTAAGGTCAATTGGTTTATTGTGTTGAACATAGAAAATGGCCATTGCTCGGGCGGCTGCAGGGCCTGGTCAGTGAGGTTAAGACGTGCGCACGAGGGTCTGCGATCTTGGGTTTGAGGCCATCGCCCGAGGGATCCTACCTCCACCGAATTGAGGCCATCTTCGGTATTACGGATGGAGGCTATCTCCGTCATAGGCAATAAATGTTAAGTGGTTTGACTTTGGTGAAAGTCTAAATTGGTTTGACCGGTGGTCAAAGAGTTCATGAGAAACCCGTAACACCTAAATCGTTTTAAAAAGAAAGAAAATAAGTTGACTGTTGGTCAACCGTCTAAAGAACCGAATGTAAAGTTGAATTGATTTTTATTAAAAGGATAAACATATGCACGATCTTAATTGTTGAATTATTATGTTTATTCTTGTGCTACAATGGAGTACCACTCAGCGTCAATGCTGAGCGGATAGCGTTGTTTTCCTTTTTGCTGTCCGTAGGTGATCAGACAGATGAACCTAGAGTCGATCCCAGAGGGCATTGAGGAGGAGATGTACGATGGCATGGCTGTCTCTTTAATCTGTTGATATGCTTTATTTAATTAACTTTCATGCTTATTACGTTTTCGGGCAAGATCCCAAGTTGTTTGACTTTAAAAAGGCTTCCGCATTAATTTAAATTACTCCGATGGATTTTTATATGTATTGATAGAACGTTTGTTTAAAATTGATTTGAAAATGTCGCAAATTCGGATACCAATTCAGTGGCACACCGGTCCGCTGTCTCACGGGTTTGGGTCATGCGGGTTGGGGTGTTACATAATATTCGTGAGGGATTTATAATTTCGATCTCACCTATCTACATGGCCGCGCACATGTCCATTACTAGCGTTCAACATACATTCAACATGCATTCACAAAACGCAGTAAATAAACGTGTAATGATTGTGGCCCCTAAAAGAAAAATAAAACGATAGCTCCCACTGGCTTCTGGGCACTTGGACTTTGGGCTATCTCCATTCTTTTAGATTTCTTCAAACGGTCTTCAAATCTTTTCGTCTTCTAACCACCACGTAAGAAAAGAATCCTCGGTTGAGGTAAGAGAGAGAAATAGATTTACAACAAGAGTTTATGAGATAAGGCACGACACGCACGCCGTATTATAATTAAATAAACTATAGCCACAATCATCCACCATGCATATCATACATCCACACAAGCAATAGAGATATACATACACCGGGTGAACCGCGCTCACCCCAGACAGTTCTAGAAAAATACTACGGCAGTAAATATTTTCTAAAACTCATAAAATTAAATTAGATGTCCAAATAAATAAAATAAAATTTTATACAATCATTTTATATAATCTGGATATTCGGTCAGCATAAAAAAATTCCAGAATATTTCAAATGACCAAAATGCCCTTTTGCAAAATTATATTCAAAAGGCCATTAATATTTTGAAACAATTTTGCAAAAATCATGAAAATTAAATTTCAACTTCCAGTAGTTATTTTTAACATTTATAAACCTGGAAATAAAATTTCCAAAATTTATAAATCATTATTTCCAAAATATATTAGTTAAATCTCAATAAGTTATAAAAAGCCATTTAAATTGATTTCGAAAATATTAAATTACAAAAATTTAATATTTTGAAAAACATTCTTTTTCTTACTGAGAT